TGGGGACCTTGGGGGAAAGATTCAAGGAGGGAGGGGAGAGCCAGGGAGAGAAGCAGAGAAAAATGTAGAGCTCAATAAATATTAATAAAATTAAAACAAAAATCCCTCATGCAGGCTAGGCAGGCACTCTACCACTGAGTTAAATGGAAGTACTATCTGTGATGGCAACAAAACGAAGAGCAAGCTTTAAAAGAGTGTACATGTGTTGATATAACCTCTAATTTCTGGCCAAAACTTTTGGATCCACATAAACAGTATGGTAAGCTTTGGGACAGGAAAGAGTTAAGTCTGAGAATAGAGAGCAAAGGCTGGGAGTGTAAACCTGCAGTAGTGTTTGCCTAGGGTGTTTTGAGGCTCCAGCTTCAACCTCTAGCATCATAAAGAAAAAGACCAAGCACAAACAAATGAGAGAACATAAAGGGAGTGGGAAGGTGTGTAGGACAGAGGAGAGAGGGATGGGCCAAGAGAGCAATAGTGATTTTCTCCCCCAATCTCATACTCATGCCTGTAACCCAGCAAGCAATCAATACAGCAGAGATGAGATTTGTCTTTACTGTGTATGAGAAGGTAGGAAAGGCATGTCACCAGAGATATGAAGGCTCTAAGAGCTAGTTCCAGGACAGACTTCACATATGAATAGTGATTATTTTTCTTCCCAGATAGAGCCTGGATTAAAATTGCAACAATTCTTGCTTCTTCCTGCCAAAGATCCTAGTGTTCACTACCTCAATTAGCTCCCCTCCTTCACAGGTGAACAGCTTATCGTCACTTGAGGCAATTTCCTGTTAGCGTTTCTTGAAACTCTTGGGAACACTGGACTGCTTGGATTATGAATTGGCACATTTTAGCCCATTTAATTTACTGCAGGTTTTCAAGTGAGACCTTTTCCCTACAGAGAAGGTAGCTGAGGCATAGGCTACCCTCAGGGAACTCGCACCATAAAACGCAGAAAACAGAGAACACGTACAACTGTGAGAGGCTGTAGGAAGGACCCTACGCCCTCAACACTTTATTAAGACCTTATTGCTTAAGTAGTTAGACACTGATTAGCTATAAACGTTTTCTGTACCTGGTCCCTGGTTACTCTGCAGAGCCTTCCGAGGCTGTTGGGAGGTGGAATACCACTAGGAGGGGGAACGAGTGGGAAAAACAGTACCTCCTAGGTGCCTTAGAGGTCAAGTGGGCTTCAGCGGGGCCCTTGAGTTAGCACAGGGGTCAGGAGTGTAGGCTTAAGCCAGGGCCCAGGGGCAACGTTTCCTGAGATGAACAAACCCCAGCCCCCTCTGACCTTTCCAGAATGGCTGGGAAAGAGGAGCAGCACTGTGGAGAGGGCAAACTAAGAATCCCTTATGTGGCCACCATGCCGGGCGGAGCAGCCAGCACCAAGCTTCAGGCACCACAGCAGGCAAGAAGAGCAAACTTAAGTAGCCATGTGCATGCAGGACGAGGCAGGGTTCCTCAAGGACAGGATGCCCGGGCTTCGGTTTGGAGCTTCCAGTTCTTTAGTATGAAGGAATATAGGGGTGTGGTTAGGCGCTTCCTTAACCAAGCCCACTCTTTATACCTCCTAGGGGTAACGCTCACCCCCCTGAACATCCAAAGGCCACGGCCACCTCAGTGTTTCTTACAAGGCACTTGTTACAGGGCTGCTGGGCGGGGTGTGGTGGTAAGATAGGAGGTGGCTCTGGTGGTTGCATCTAATCTACACAGCCACAAGTGGGTGTGGGGGCAGCCAAGGCCTTAGGGGCTACCGTAGTACAAGCACACAGCCAGGCCAATGAGCAGCGTGGCCAGGAAGAAGACGGCTGTGAGCTGGAGCTGCAGCAGCACTGCTGAAAGCACAGCGTTGACCACCAGGGAGCAGGACACGACGAAGAGGCGCGTGATGCTGCTGCCGTGCTTCATGACAGCCGACATGAGCAGTCCGTTTACCGCCTGGTTCAGCACCACCAGCACTGCCCACCCAGAGAAACCCTCCAGGAAGCCCGGGCCGGGGCCGCTGCCGGCATACAGTCCAAGGTTCAGGATCACCCCGAAAGTGTAGAGGAAGAGGTTCTGAAGAGCCAAGGGCAGCCGCTGTCGCTTCATGATCAGCTCTGTGTACACCGAGGACAAGCCGGAGATGAGGCAGTACAAGAGGAGGAGCACAAGTCCCAGGGGAGTGATATGCAAGGCCATGGCACGGGATCCGGCTGCTGACGGAGGTCCAGGAAGGGTGCTCATGGGTTCCTGAAAGCCACCCGACGCATAGCAGGCTCCTGCAGCCATCAGCAGCAGCAGTGCCAACCCCTGCCGTGCAGAGAGGCGACGCCCAAGGCAGAGGCAGTACAACAGAGCTGTGCTTCCAATTTTGAGATTGCTCAGCACCTGGTAGGTGCTGGGGTCCATGTAACGCTGCAGATAGATCACCAGGTTGTTGTTGGCGCCATAGAGCAGGGCTGACAGGGCAAAAGGGGCAGCCTGGCGCCAGGGTGCTGTGCCCTGGGGCCATGTTTGCCAGCCCATCAGGAGGGAGAAGGCGCACAGCAGTAGTTTGGTCAGCTCAGTGAGCAACACAGCTGAGGAGGGCCGGAAGGGCACTCGGCCATCCACATGGCACAGGGCTAGGAACGGTGCATGGGCACCATACATGGCAGTAGACAGGAATAGCATCAGGGTCCAGCGAGCCTGTCTTGGACGGGCTAGGCCTGGCACACCCCCATCTTCTACACTCATGGCCTACACCAGACCCTGGGTGGCCTGTGTAGCTAGCAAGCGACAGAGGGACGGGGAGGCATCTGAAGGAAATCGAGTACAGAATGGTGGTGCATCACCAGAGAGAATACTGAACGTCAGAGTCAGGTGCACGCTCCACAGTTAGGGCTTGAAGGCGGGGCTCATGACCCATAGTTTAGGGGTTAGTCCCATGGAACTAGGGGGGGAAGGAGTGCAGGGTGCAGGCTGACCGAGCACTGTCCACTCTCCGCAGAAGGACAAGCAAGGATGAAAGAGACAGGTCAGCTGGAGACAGCAAATGAACAATGGCAGGGGAAGCCAGACAGAGAGTCTGTGATAGAAAGGCCTCTACCTGCAGGCCCAACACGCCCATCCTGCCTTCCCCAAAGGATCTAGTCGGGCCCCTTTCGTAGTGACCTAAAGTAGTTCTTCAGGGTCTTCTCCACGTTGGGTACAGCATATGACTGAGCTACATAGATGCCAGTGCAAGTGCCCACGGCGAAGCCCAATACTGCGGATGCCCTCAGTTTGGCCACCACATAGCCTGCCAGGAATCCCTTGAGAAACGGGGAGGACAAGAGCGAGCCATCCTGCAGGGAAAAACACAGAAGCAAATCAGGTGTGCTCTCCTCTTTAAGCTGGGCTTAGAGCATTCGACTGTTGCCCGTCTTCACTGCGACAGCTACGCTCTTTTCTCCAAGGATTATCTCAAAATTCTGGAGCCAGAAAAAGAGTGTCAGAGACCCAAGCACACAATACCAGACTCCAAGAGGGCTCTACCCAGGATGCCATTCACCTAGAATGCAAGAGAGGCTTCTGGGGAACCTGAGCCCTGCCTGTTCCTCCAGTACCATTTCCCAGCATGGTCGCTGATGATGACCGCAAACTACCCTTCTCCTGCTTCCTGTTCACAATGCTGCTCATCACCAAGGTTTGTCTGTGCTGTACCTGGAATGCCCCCACCCCGACCTCACCTATTGAACACCTATTTAGGATCTCAGCTTCAGTGCTATTTTTCCCTCCCCTGCTGGTTTTGAGACAGGGTCTCTTGCGTGTAGCACTGGCTGGCCTACAATCCTCTAGGTAGCCCAGGTTGGCCTTGAACTTGTCTGCACCACAATGCCCAGTTCCAGTTTTTTTTTTTCCTCAGGGAGACTTTCGTTGAGCCCTCAATGTCCATTCGCTAAACTAAAACTCTACGTGCTATTTATTCAACATTCCCAAGAGCAACTGGGCCCTTACCTGGCTCACGCCACTGTTGACTTCATCCTCCACACGCTGCTGGAGGCGCTCCAGCTGGTTCTTGAGAAATGTCAGGTCCTTAAGCTTCGGCAGAGAATCCTAGGACAAGGGAGAGGCTGGCTCCAGCAGGCTTGACCCAGTCCCATGCCCTGCTCAATTTTATCAGAGGCTAGGAACTAGGTGAGCTGTGGGAGGGATGGTGGGAAGAACCGAATAAATCTCTTCCTACAACACCTTCCCGAGGCAGCAGCGATGAAGGAAGGCAGACACTGAAAAGCAAAACACTCCCGTGGGGGCCGGGAGGTGACAGATGGGACGTGCATGAGGAACTTGTAATGACTTCCACAGAATCTCGGGGCAAGCAGAGGCACTTCTATTTAGCTTTAGGAAGGAAATACTATTGGCTGAAGTACAAGCCTGCTGAAAATGGCCATTAGCCTGCTTTCGTTGCTGTGTCCCGGTACCTGACAGAGAAACTGGCAGGCTAGGAATAAATCTGTGGGTGATGCTGGGCTTCTGGACCAGCTGGGAATAACAGGTTGAAGCAGTTTCCCGTACAATTCGAGGTTAACCTGCTATCTGCTCAGGTCATCTCACACTGAATGAGAATACACGAATATGTGGCGAACATGTGTCAGCAGGAGGGTGGCTACAAGACTCGGGTCTGGTGGCAGGTCCGTAGGAAGCAGGAAGTGTCTGAGTGAGGGCGGTGGTAAGGGTGGAATGGAAATGCTGTCTCTGTAAGGGAGACTTCAGGGGCGAGGAAACGGCCCCAATGAGCACTGCTACAGAGTGATTATATTTGAATGTGTGCTCCCAATTAGGCACCGTGTCAGTCCCGGGAAGAGTAGCCCTTCGCCTAAAGCCCCCTACTGTTGAGGCAGTTGACAGGAACCCAGGGGAAAAAACAAGAATTATCCCCGTCGTCTCTGCTCAAATCTATAAAGGTTAAAGAATTTGAAAACCACGCCGACCGAAGCACCCCTAGACTTCAACTCACCTTGTCATCCGCCATCTTCCCCGCCGAACTTGTTGCGCATGCGCAGCCCCGCCCCCGTATGTCAGAGGTTACTTCCAACTCTACCGAGGGTAGAGGCACTTCCGGGGCATTTCGGGAAAAGGCGGGGCGTTTTTTCCCTATTACTCTAGGCTGTGCTCAGGCACGGCCACCCGATCCCTCCCGTCTGGTCCTGGGCCGTATACGCGGGCGGGCAAAGGTCGGGACGTGATGATCTCATGCTCCACGCGATGATGTCATCCGCGCCCTGGTGCACACAGGGCACGTTCTCGCCGGTCCTCCGCCGTCCGAGGAACTCCTAGTTGCCTACGGGTGCGGGATTCATAGTGTCGGTGCACTTCGTAGGGCGCACGCACCGAGACGCGCGAGGACTCGGCGACCCGGACGCCGCGGCGCCTGCAGCTCAGGCCCGCCTCTGCCCTTCCCCAAGGCCGGCCCAATCCCGCCCCGTTGGCCCGGCGGTCTCCGGCGCAGAGGCTGGGCTAGGGGACCCTGCAGCTCCGGAGGTCGCCGTGGGCTGAGAGCGCAGGCTGTCAGAGGCTATGTTGGGCAAGGATTATATGCTGGCCATCATTCTGGTCAACTGCGATGGTGTGCACCGAGGGTCCGGTTGGGAGGACCAAAAGCTGAGGGTTTATGAGGGGTGAAGGAAGGCTTAAACATGGGGTGGAGGTGGGTGGCATCTCGGGAACGAGAACCAGGGGATAAGGGAACACTGATCCTTGCATGTGCTGTCTTTACGATTGGGGAGTTTAGGGCTGTCTCCTCTGGGATGGAACGAGGGTTATGACAGAGTCGTTGGGAACTCACGAGTAATGTGGCCCCTTGATTTAACCCCTTGTTCCTATAGATGACTTGTGGGGGGACCAAAATCTGGAGGGGGAGACAGGATTACCCCCTGGCTGGAGAAAAATCCGTGATGCTGCAGGCACTTACTATTGGCATGTACCCAGCGGTAGCACTCAGTGGCAGCGCCCAACCTGGGAACTAGGAGGTGCAGAGGACCCAGGAACGGTAGGTGGAGCGTGAGGAGGGGGTCTGAGCTCATGTGTGCACCTAGGCCTGCTACTACACTGACTAATCTCTATTCCATAGAGGACGGAGGGGATTTGGGAACTGCGACCCCCCAAGGGGAGATCCTTCTCCAGCCTGGACAGTTCATTGAACCGGAGGTAACAGGGGTGGCCCAGGCCAAACGAAAGCCTTGCGGTTACCGTGGCACTCAAAAGAATGAAGCTGGACCCACAGTTTCCTGTTTTTCTTTCTTTCTTTTTTTTTTTTTTTTTTTTGAGATGGTCTCAGATTTCACTGTGTATGTAGCCATAACTGACCTGGAACTCACACAGTAGACACCGTGCCTGTCTCCACAATTTGCTTTTAAACTGTAGTTCTGGACTTTGGGGCTCTATTTGTGCTTGTCTTTCCCATGTTCTTGACGGTTGTGTATTTTGATTTTTGTCTGTTGCAAGTCCTTATCATTAGGTCTATATTCTGTGTCCTCTGTCCTGACCCATCATGTTCTAGTAGACTCCATCCGATCACTTCAGTTTTTTTTTTTTGGGGGGGGGTGGTGTGGGGTGAGAGGATTCCTATTTTGTGTTCTACAGTCTCTTGTTCTAGTTTGAGGCTTTTGTCCACACTTTTAATTCATATCTGTATTTATTTTAGTTTATGCCTGTGTCTCGTGTACTGGGTTTCTTCAAATTTTGAACTGTACTTGGTTAACCATATTCTGGGGCCTGCTTTTTCTGGGTTTGCATTTGTGGTGCTATATTTTGGGTCTTGTCCCAGATTCTGTGCTTGATCAAGTAGGCTAGGTTTCGCCATTGCCCCTAAGGTAGGAATCCTAACCCTTTCACTGGCTCTCATCTGTTCCAGTAACTCTCTGACATGGTGTGGTGAAGAATCCTGTGTCCGGAGCCTGGAGCCAGGAGCTAAGGTAGTGGCTGAAGCTGAGGGCCAGTTTCAAGGGAAAGATCAGGGGTAGAATTATTCAGTGAGTGGGCTGATAAAGAATAGGACGACCGGAGTTGATGTGGACGGGTCCTGTGTCTCCCGTCATGCCACTCCACAGCTTGTCACCTCTTTTTCCCCATCTTGTCAGTGCTTTGCAGTCCGCTCTCTGGGCTGGGTAGAGGTGCCTGAGGAGGACCTGGCACCAGGGAAGAGCAGTATTGCTGTCAATAACTGTATCCAGCAGCTGGCCCAGACTCGCAACCGGAGCCAGCCCCATGATGGTGCCTGGGGTGAGGTGAGTTGTCTGATTTCTCCAGGGGTTCACCCTATGGCTCAGCAGAGGTAGGTTTTCCGTAAATTGCTTGTTTGCCGTGTTAGCCACCTTCATCTGTCAACTCTCTGTCCTTGGCAGGGCCAGAACATGTTGATGATCCTGAAGAAAGATGCCATGAGCCTGGTGAATCCCCTGGACCACAGTCTGATCCATTGTCAGCCTCTGGTTCACATCCGTGTCTGGGGTGTGGGCAGCTCCAAGGGCCGGTGAGGACTTCTGTGTTCCCCCGAGCAAGAGTTGCATCACCCTTCCCCCTTGCAGGCTGCCATCCCCACTGATGCTGAACCCTTGGACACAGATCACTGATGTGGACCCAGCATGACCTTCCCTGCCTGGTTCAGTCCTGGTTGGGGTGGGTGGGCCCATGGGCCCAGCGCAGCAGGGACAGATGGGGGAGAGGCTGAGAGGCTGGGCTGATTTTATCCTGTGCTCCCACATGCTTCTGGAACAGTGACAGGTATGTGACAACTAGATCCTCTGAGCCCTGTCCCTGGCTTCTCTACTCCAACTGTGCCATATCTTTAGCTTAACTTTAGAAGTTTCTTGTAGGCACTTAGAAGCCCCTGGCCTAAATAGTCTTATACCTGCCCTTGCTAGGGACTTTGCCTTTGTTGCGGGTGACAAAGACAGCTGTATGCTCAAGTGCCATGTGTTTCGCTGTGATGTGCCTGCAAAGGCCATTGCAAGTGCTCTACAGGGGCTCTGTGCACAGGTGAGGGCCAGTGGTGGCCAGGGAATATTGAGTTGGGTTAGGGTGGGCTTGGCTCCTGACCCTAACTTCCCTTTCTTTCTGTGTGCCTTATGCTGGCTGTGCTGTATTTTAGATCTTGTCGGAGAGGGTAGGAGTCAGTGGAGAAGCTGCTTGCTGTTCCCCAGATCCTATTTCCCCTGAAGACTTACCAAGGCAAGGTATGGGGAAGGGCTCGCTGCATTGCAACATCAGGCTGCTTTAGTGAGAGATGGAGGTGGTATGGGGGTGGGGTTCCTGGTGAGTTGGCTTCTTCCTGGAGAGTCTAGATCCAAGAATCCAAAGCAGTGAATTGAAGGTGCATCTCAGGCTCTCCTTTACTAGCCTCTAGCTTGAGTCCTGGCATATTCATTAGGGTGCAGAAGCGAGGCATGGTGAGGCATGGTATAATCCTAGCACTTGGAAGGCAGAGATAGGAAGACTGTCACAAGTTCCAGGCCAGCCAGAGCTGGTTACATAGTAAAACCTATACATAGTGGTGTAGTCCACAGCAAGGGAAGGGGCAACTGAGTTTTTGTGCTAGATTGGTGCTTGATATGTATGTTTCAGTGGAGTTGCTGGATGCAGTGAGCCAGGCTGCTCAGAAATACGAGGCACTGTACATGGGAATCCTACCAGTCAACAAAGCCATGGGTAAGGACTAAGGGGGCTGATGGCTCCGGTGTGTTAGGAAAGAGAGTATGGGTGAGGTGAGAGCTACATTGTATGAGTCTTAGAGTTCTTGCATTACCTTATATAATTTGGGATATACCCATTCTTCCAACTCAGAATTCCAAGCTCAGCCCCAGCTCTTCTTTTCCCATCTTTCTGAATCCCAAGTTAATGAAAGGGTCCTAGAAACTCTCTGTACACTCTTTCGATCCAAGCCAGACAGCACAGCAGGCATGTCTCCTCAGGTATGGATGTGCTGAATGAGGCCATTGGTACCCTCACTGCCCGGGGGGACCAGAAAACCTGGGTTCCTGCTATGCTCAGTGTGTCTGACTCTCTGATGACTGCGCATTCCATTCAGGTATCACGGGAGGGTGAAGTTCGGGGCTTTGGAGGGTAAGCAGGCATGTTGAGGTGGGGGTGTGTGTCTTTACTGGAAGTATTGGGTCTAGCAATTGCTTAACTATGTAGTGATTAGGCTTTGTGTGGGCAGGCAGAGGCTAGTGCAGAGGAAGAACCATTGTGGCAGTGCCCTGTGCGTCTTGTGACCTTTATTGGTGTTGGCCGTGATCCACATACCTTTGGCCTCATCGCAGACCTTGGTTGTCAGAGATTCCAGTGTGCAGCCTTCTGGTGCCAGCCTCATGCTGGGGGACTTTCTGAAGCTGTACAAGCTGCCTGTATGGTGAGTTAGGGATGGAGTGGGAATAGGAGAGGTTTTCCTTGTAGCCACTCTGTATTATGGAATGGGTTCAAGATGGGCAGCTCCACTTAAATCACAACCCAGTGATCCCAGGGCCAAATTTGGTTCACAAGCATATCTGGCTCTTAATGCTGTTTTTGCTAAGTTTTGTGTTGGTTACTAACACTTAATAATCTAGGGCATTTTGTATAATAATTGCTATTTCTGATTTTTTTTTTTTTTTTTTTTGGTTTTTCAAGACAGGGTTTCTGTGTGTCGCTTTGTTGCCTGCCCTGGAACTAGCTCTTGTAGTCCAGGCTGGCCTCGAACTCACAGAGATCCTCCTGCCTCTGCCTCTCGAGTGCTGGGATTAAAGGCGTGTGCTACCACCATCCAGCGGCTTATTTCTGATTTCTTAAAGTATGGGGAATACTAATACGACGTGTACACACACACACACACACACAAACACTCGTGGACACACTTTCCTTACACGTTTCAGCATGCAAGTGAAGGTGTGCTATACAAAGTGGGCACCATTACTGATTTAACATACTTCTTGGTGTATGTGGGTGTTTGAATGAAGGATACTTAAGCTACGTTAATTCAGTTCACTTGTTCATTCAACAAATGAGTATCTACAGGGTCCAACCACTGTAATTAATCCTAAAAAGTCATTGCTATAGAAGGCATATATAGCCTTTGCCATCACAGAATGAAGCAGAAACACATCAGAAGCAAGTTACATTACCACATGATGGAGATGCTTCCTCACCTGTAGGGGGAAAAGAAAAGACACCCAAAGAAGTGGGCCAGGTGAAGAGACAGGGCAGATATACCAGAGAACCTCAGGAATGGACGTGAGAGAGGTGTTTAGTGGGTTAGAGTCCCTGAGAAATGTGGTGTGCTTGGCCTGCAAGAGGATGCAGTGATAGCACAACAAGAATGACAGAGCAGGTCGGAAGAACCTTAGATTAGCCTGGGCCACTGAAGACAGTAAAGTGAGATCTGCAGATTTTACCCACTTATGCTGCAGTGCAGGTACACAAGAGGAGGTAGGAAGGCTGAGTAATTAGTATCTGCACGGAGTAATTTAAATAACTAAGAGTTTGATTGGGACAGTTATTTTGGGGATGGGTTGGGTTTGTAGACTTTCTCTTCACTAGAGAATCTGTTTTGCCAGATACTGTTACAAAACACTGAGAGATGGAGGATAGTCTCTTGTGGTAGGTGTAGTTAAGAGTGCAAGCTTTGACCGGATGGTGGGTGGTGGCACATGACTTTAATCCCAGCACTTGGGAGGCAGAGACAGGAGGATGTTTGTGAGTTCGAGGCCAGTTTGGTCTATAAGAGCTAGTTCCAGGACATGAACCAAAGCTACACAGAGAAACCTTATCTCGGAGGGAAAAAAAAAGGAGTATAAACTTTGGCCAGATAGTTGGTATTGCATGCCTTTTTAATCCCAGCACTCAAGAGGCAGAGGCAGGCGAATCTCTGAGTTTTGAGGCCAGCCTGGTCTACAGAGTGAGTTCCAGGATAGCCAAGGCTGCAGAGAAACCATGTCTCATAAAAAGCAAGATCAACCAACCAAAAAAACACAAAAAATGCAAGCTTTGCAGCTGGACAGACTTACATTTGAATGCCAGATATAACATTTTCTGTTTGTGCGACCCTAGACCAGTGGTTCTCAATCTTCCTCATGCGACAGTCTTTTAATATAGTTCCTCATGTTGTGGTGACCCCCCCCAACCATAAAGTGATTTTGTTGCTACTTCATAACTAATTTTGCTACTGCTATGAATCGTTATGTAAATATTATTTTAAATGTAAATAAAATCTGTTATGCAGGACATCTGGTATGTGATCCCCCACAGGTTGAGAACCACTGCCTTAGACAAGTCATTTATCTCTGAACCTTGGTATCTTCATTTGCAAGATGAGTAAAGCAACACCTCATGAATAACTTAGGTTAAATTAAATTATCACACAAAGCACGTAACATAGTGTCTAGCTTTCCTTAAGTACTCAGTAAATGTTGAGCTTTATGTTTTTGTTTTTGAGCTACATGGGAATGCTGGACAGAATTCTTGGCCAGTTACCTGCCTCACAGAAGCTTTCAGGTGTCCAAGGGCAGAAAACTGGATGTTCACATACTCCCCTTCTTCCTAGGTTCAATACCAGAAGTGTCTGGTGGCCTCAGCAGCTCGGGGTAAGGCCTGGAGTGCCCAGGCCCGTGCCCGCCTTCGGCTCAAGCGGACCAGCTCCATGGACTCCCCTGGTGGCCCCCTGCCTCCCCCACTACTCAAAGGAGGGGTTGGTGGTGCTGGGGCAGCTCCTCGAAAGCGGGGCGTCTTCTCATTTCTTGATGCCTTCAGGCTAAAACCTTCTCTTCTCCATATGTCCTAAACTGATCTTAGAGTGTTGGGGAAGGAGGCTTTACACTCCTCCAGTTCCCAGGGTTCTGTAGCCTCTCACCTTCCTGCCTATCCCCGATACTTGCCTACCCTCTACTTATTACCAAGTTCCTTGTTTATATGGATGACTGAGAGGCCCTGCACTATAACTTAGGCCCCTGGCACCCTTTTCCTTGGGTCCTTATGTTCCTTGCCCCTGTCCAACCCTGGACAATTGGCTCTACCTCAGCAACTTTATAGCAGAATCAGTGCAAATAAAAATCCCTCAGTGACCTCACTAGTTGTGAGTATATTAGACGTGGGATAAGGTTGGAGACCATCAGCTTGTGTGAGGTGGGTATGTATGCTTGGTGTTGTTGACTGCCTTTAGTCACACGGGGCATGGTGCATAGTGGAAATGTGACTGCATTCATTCAGCAAACAATTTACGAGATTTTCTGTGCCAGATATTAAAGTAGGCCTATCAGGATTCCTTCTGAGACTTTCTGAGGCGAAACAACCAAATAGGTAAGCAGAAGATAACAGGAACTACCAGAGGGTTGTGGGAGCTCAGCTGAGACTTGTCCAAGGCATTTCAGAAGACTTCTGAAGAGTTGACATATTTGTGTACTGAAGAAGTTCTTCTTAGTGAGCCTAGAGAAAAAAATTGTGCAGGCAGTCTACTGATAAGCGAGCTTCCAGAGGTTGATGTGATTAGATCAAGCAGGTACTTCTGGTGAATTTGCGCCTGAGAGCAAACTAGGAGACATTAGAAAAACCTACCTGTTTGGTGCCCCTTGACAAAGTCTCCATCCAGATCATCTTTTTTTGTTTGTATTTCGAGACAGCGTTTCTCTGTAGCTTTGGAGCCTGTCCTGGAAATAGCTCTTGTAGGGAACTAGCTCTTGTAGACCAGGCTAGCCGCCTGCCTCTGCCTCCTGCCACCACCCTGCTCAGCCAGTTGTCTTTTAAGGAATTGGTGCCTGATCTCTAGGCAGCCCCTCTTATACCACCAGGCAACAAGCTGGACTGAGTGAGTAAGCTACCGCCCCGGAAATGACGCGCTGCCCCGCTGGCACTGGCGGCGCGGAAGTAGCGATGGCGGAGCTTTACGTGAAGCCGGGTGAGCAAGCCGGGTGGGCTGGCTGTGGGTACTCGGCCCGAACTCTGACTCCCCCTGACTCCAGAGTAACCTCCGTTGGGTGCCCGGTCACCTTTCACACACTTCCTTGCCTTCGCAGGCAACAAGGAACGCGGCTGGAACGACCCTCCGCAGTTCTCTTATGGGCTGCAGACTCAGACTGGTGGACCCAAACGCACGCCCCTTACTAAGAGGGTCGCGGCCCCGCAGGATGGATCCACTAGAGGTGTGTAAGGGCCGTGGGCGGAATCCTGTACGGAAAGATGGTGTCCGTGATAAACCTGTCCCATCGGCCTGTTTTCCTCTCTCAAGGGAGAGGAGTGGGCTTGGGAGCCAGTAAGAGGCTAAGCGCAGGCGCTTTTCGAGCCTGTTCTTTCTGCTGCCCTGGTCAGTAAATGGTATGTTGGACAAAAGGACTAGGCTCACTCAGACTGTTTTCAGATATTCCTTGCCTAGTCTCTTCCCACGATCCTACTATGATCTTTGTGTTATAAGCATCTCAGACTTTGTGTTACTTACTCATTTGCTTAATTAGTATTTACTGAGTACTTGTCAAGCTAGAGCCAGGAACAGTTTGAGTGCAAACTAAAACATAGTGAACAAGCTAAAAGGTCTTGGTGGGGACTCCGCAGAGAAGCACGTTTCCAGGTAACCTTTCCTGGGGGCTATTTAAGTAAACACGGAAATGTGACTAAAAGGTGCAAAAGTATTTCAAGCACAATAAACAGGTAAGTGCAAACTCTGAGAGGAGAACAACTTTGCCTGGTTCAGAAACTGAAGTACAGTGCTTCAAAAAAGATTTTTTTAAAAAAGTGGAGTGTTGCAAGATAGGTTTGCAGGTGGTGGGATGCTATATTTGATAAGAAAAAGAAATTTAAGGGGTTTTGAGAGCAAACAGTAAAGTCCATTTGTTTGTTCATGGGATGACAGAGTAAAGGCCAAGAAGTGATCATAATGGAGAAAAGAAATAGTCATAGGAGGGAAGCCTAAAGAAGGGCTGGACTACAAAGTACAAGTGGAGAGATGCCCTCCACTTACTCCAACAGGAGCAAGCACTTTCTGCGGAAGGAAGGTGGCCCCAATGGGTGGATTAAAAGGACCAGTGGAGAGTTCCTGAGCTGGGCATGGTGGTGTATGTCTATGGTCTCAGTATTCAGAAAGCCAAGGCAAGAGGAGTGCCACAAGTTTGATGCCCGCCTGTGCTAGAGTGTAACCCTGTCTCAAACAGAAAAAAAAAAAAATCCCACTTGATGGCTTTATCAGTGAAATAAGGCATGGCCAGAAATAGGAAAAGGAAGTGTTTACAGAAAGTGAAGTTTAGAGATGTGAAAATGCTTATTTTTTTTGTTTCTTGAGACAGGGTTTCCCAGTAGCTATGGAGCCAGTCCTGGAGCTGTCTCTGTAAACCAAACTAGCCTCAAACTCAGAGATCTGCCTTCCTCTACATTCTGAATGCTGGAATTAAAAGTTTGTGCCACCACTACCCGACGAAAATGTTTTACTCTTTTTTTTTTTTTTATTGAGCTATACGTTTTTCTCTACTCCCCTCCCTTCCTTCCCTTTCCCCTTTAAAAATCTGTCAGTGAAAAGTGTTTGATTATATGGGGGACTGGAGAAATGTCTCAGTGGTTAAGAGTACTTGCTGTCTAGAGGATTTGAGTTTGGTTCCCAACATGCTTTGGTTTAATCAATAAAATTGGGCAGTAAAAGGTAAGAGATGAACTGTGTTCAGATTTCATAGTTGATTAAACATTGTGAACAAAGAGAAATGGGAATAAAATGATCATTGGAGGGTACTAAGCCTTGTTGCTTGATCTAGTTTGAACATTTCAGCCCCAACTTCAGAAACTTCTGGACCACCTCCAGTGGGTCATCCACCTCCTTCAAGTAAGGCTTCCAGGCCTCCACCTATGGGGACTTGTCCTGCTACTGGTGTGGAACCCCCAGCTTCCCCAGTCACTGAGTCTGAGGTTCTGATGGAAGATGTACTGAGACCTCTGGAACAGGCGTTGGAGGACTGCCGTGGCCACACAAAGGTAGGCCCTGGTACTTCCAGGAGTGGAAAGGACTTCTATCCAATGAAGTATGGTTCTTAAAAACAGCACTTCTGATGGGACCTTAAGGAGTCTCTCAAAATTTTCCAGGGAAATGGACACCGATGTCAGAGGGATTCTCAGGACTTTTGAAGGACCATCTACCAATAGAGGCTTTATGGGAATGAGTTGTATTTAATTTAACTCCTATTAGTGTTAATAAGCCTATTTATTTTTGTAACTTGAGGCCATTCATAATGTACTCGGTTGTTTTTGTGCTGTCTGGGAGAGAAAGGGAAGCTTTGTATGAAGGTTTCTTCAGCCCTCTAGAGACAAAGGATTGAAGAAAGGAGATGCAGCGTGGTAGTACCACCTTTGGCCATGTTTTCCTTATTTGAACAGTAACATTAAGATGAGTCTCTAAGGGGCTGAGGAGGCACTGAAAAGTTAAAATTCTTGTCATGTCTGTCTTTTGTCTTTGGAGGAGATCCATAGGTTTCATTTTATTTTTAGTGGGGGACTTCTATCCTTTGGGTAAAGGAATATGAACTCTAAAATGACCAAGAGTCAAACTCCTGAGCCGGAGAATGCACATAATGGCAGCACTGAGTTGGATCGGTTTCTTTCTCAGAAACAGGTGCATGACGATATCAGCCGACGCTTGGCACTGCTTCAGGAACAGTGGACTGGAGGGAAGTTGTCAATTCCTGTAAAGAAGAGGATGGTACTGCTAGTGCAAGGTATGGGTGGGGTCCTTTCTCCTCCCATTGATGGCTGAACTGGCAGGTGAAGAGGTTTTTACTTATTGGGAGGGAAGGAATGGAAGACATGAGTATTACTTCCAAGTGCCAATATTACTTGCTCAAGCCCTGTCTCTCCTCAGAACTTTTACACCACCAGTGGGATGCAGCAGATGACATTCACCGCTCACTCATGGTTGACCATGTGACTGAGGTCAGTCAGTGGATGGTGGGAGTTAAAAGGTTAATTGCAGAAAAGAGGAGTCTGTCTTCAGAGGAGGCCAAAGAAGAGACATCTACAATGGCACCTGAGAACCAGACAGTACCAGGCTTCCAACAGTCTTCATAATCCTGGGGCCTCCCCAGACTCACTCAAATGATCTGTGCCTCGGTGTGGAAGGCCTCTTCTCGCTTGGGTCCCATTACCACCAGGGAGACAATCGTGTTGGGCCTGACCAAAGATCCTACCTGGGCCACTTGCAAGATAACTTGTTACTCATAATATGTATATTTCAATAAAAATCTCAATGGTGGGAAGTGGGTAGGAAAGGTGAGCCATTCTGATGCCAGACTGGTTCTTTCTGGTGTCATTTTCCCTGCTCCATGAATACTATTCCTTGTTCCATTCATCAAGAAGGGCCTTGATGGGCATAGCCATATTGCTACCTGCTTTTCTCAAAATTAGACTGAAAAGCACATTTTTTTTTTTTTTTGTAACATAGTACAGTGTTGTTGGCTATTTTCATTTCAGCCTAAGACTAGACTCAAATAGCTAGAAACTTTCTGGTCAGAAGAGACCATGCCCTTTGCTGTATTCTTGGTGTATTGTTTTTACAATCAGTGATTGGGGTTGTTTCTGCTGTTTAAACTGAAGGAGAAAAAGACCAGATGCCTGCATTTCTTTTGAGTGTAGTAGCACACACTTATGGTCATAATATTTGAGACTAGAGGCAGGAAGAGGAGTTCAAGGTTACCCTGCACTTATTGAGTTTGAAGCCACTTTAAGCTGTGTTGAGATTCTGTTTCAACAACAAAGATTAGATTACTGATATCTGAGGTCAAGATTATCTGGTTTACTAAACAGAGGCAAACAAAGGTTTACTAAATGAGGCAAACAAGGTGTTGCCTCATTTTGGTTTCAGTGTAAGCCTAGTCCTTTTTGTTTTTGTTGAGACAGGGTTTCTCTGTGTAGCCCTGAATAACCTGGAACTTGTTCTGTAAACCAGGCTGGCCTTGAACTCAGAGTTCTGTCTGCCTCTAAAATGCTGGGATTAAAGGTGTGTGCCACCATCACCAGGCTAGTCTTTTAGATTTATTTATGTATATGAGTGCTCTGTCCACAAATATGCCTTCACACACAGAAGAGGGCATCAAATCCCATTATACAAAGTTGTGAGATATTTTTGGTTGTTGGGACTTGAACTCAAGAGCAACCAGTACTCTTAACTGCTGAGCTATTTCTCCAGCACCCTTCTCCCAATCTTTTCTAACACTAAAAAAAAAAAAAAAAAATAGCTGGGACCAGAAATGTACTGGTGGTTATGCTGAGAAGAAAGATGCAAGGTTTCCAGAATTGAACTGATTGGTACTTAAGAGATAGGAAGCAGAAGAAAAGGCAGGGGAGAAACTGAGGTGGGTGTTAGCTGAAACAGCATCTCTTCTACTAGGAGTGCACATTACAAATGGATGGGGGTTGGGGGCCCTCACTTCCTGGAAAGGCTCAGCTGTTGTGCTTTTGACCTAGCAACTCTAGCAGTTTTCTCACACAGCCTGCCTCAAGCCCTAAATGCTGCAAGAAGGGGGCCTATGGGAGCTGGGAACAGACTTGGGCCTGCTGGGTCTCTCAGCTGTATAGCTGAGAGTTCAGCACCGAGGAGAACACTGGAGCCAAGGCATTTCATTGAATGTTTACTAAGCAGCCAGAAGGTGACATATTCTGTTCCCCAGTGCCAGCTCTGAGGGCCAGGATTTGGGAGGAATATGTATAGACCAGAGAAAGTTGAGGCCTTGGCAAGTGTCCACTGCTATCCCTGGTCCAGCTGCCTCAGAACTAAAGGAAGCCCAGAACCAACAAGTCTCTCTTCCAGACTAGATGAGGCCAGCTGCCCTTGAATACCCTAGAAGAGGTGGTGGCAACAGTGGCATGAGAGATCCGTAACTCCACACAGGTCATCTTGCACTGGATTACATGTCCATTTCAAATTGTTCGTCATCTAGGGAGAGAAGTCAAGAGAACAGTTACTCATTTAAGTATTTGTAAGCCCAGTTAGCACAGGAACCCCTCTTGGAATTGAGCCCCAACTCTACTTTACAAAGGCATTTAATTGCTAGTCCTACTTTCTTACCGGTTGTCTCTTCCTCTGTCTGCTTCTGTTCCTTCAGCAGCTCCAGCCTGGAGGGTGGGACTGGGGGAATTGTGACCCCGGGAATCTGAGGGAGGCAGTAGGGAGGTGTCCGGGCAATGGGAGAATTCTTGCACTCCAGCAGGAACTTTCGGTCGTAGATGATCCTGGTGCCTGTGAAGGAATAAGAGCTGAAATTAAGAACCAGGATCTTGAACACATTACTGCCCAACTAGGATTCAGCTGGCAGGTCACACCACAAAAGACATGCCCAACCAAGTTCAGTCTAAGTGACATCAAGGCAAGTTGGGACATCTAGCTAGTCTGTAGGTACTCTGGGCGACGACAGTGGTGGTAGCCCTGAGAGGAAACACCACACTTGAAAACTCAGGTACTTTAGGCTGTTAGTCTACAGTTCATAGATCTTGTTGCTTTGGTATATATAAGTGGGGCCAAACTGCCCAACCTTTCACCAAAAAGGTCTGAAACATTAAGAATTTCATCCAGCATAGCCTCCTGGGTTCTCACTTCTTGCAAAGGAGAGTTGCATTCCTTGGAAAACATGCCCCCTCACCCCCTAAGTCCCTTAGGGCTAGCCTCACCCATGAGAAAATGGCCAACAGTGTCCTCGAAGAGCCCTGCCCTATTCTTGCGGCTCCCTTCTGTTTCCACATGGCAGAAACCCGCTTGCCAGTGCAGCAGCTCATGACCCAGGGCTGCAATCACTACATAATACTTGCTTTCTGTTGTGGCCACCTTCTATTGCAGTGGTTCTCAACCTATTACTGGTCACAACCCCCTCACAGGGGTTGCCTAAGACCACCAGAAACTGCAGGTGTTTACATTATGATTCATAACTGTAGCAAAATTGTAGTTATGAAGTAGCAATAAAAACAATTGTATGGCTGGGGAATCACCACAACATGAACTGTTATAAGCAGTTTAAAAGGCACTGCCTTTTATTTATTTATTTTTTTTGGTAAACTATTTTCAAATAGTCTCCTATGTTATACCTTGGAGAACCCTGCAGAAGCAATTCCAAGGTCCACCCCACTCCACCCCCCACACTACCCCAAAGAGCACAAACCCCTGCCCTGCCCACTGACCTCCCGGGGTGGTGGCACATAGTGTACCCCCCGGCGTGGTGCCGTAGCTATCTGAGAGCCGGTCTCGACACCCTGGAATAGGGCAACTTCTAGAGGCAGACATAGCGAGCAGTAGGAAGGCAACAGCGGGTGCCTTGAAAGCACGGGAAAACAGGTCTGAAGTGTAGGCAGGCAGTCTCAGCTGACCACGTGTGGCAGCAGGCAACACCACTAGGATACGTCACACCCGGGGTGGGCCATTGGCCAGTCACTCAGCCTGAGGGTTCCGACCACTTGCCTAGGAGCTCTCAGGATCTGCTCTGACTTGAGAGTTTATTTGCTAATTATTCCTGGATGTCGGGAGGTACGGTTGTACCCATTTCTTCCAACAGTTTCAGACAGTAATGTACTTATTAACCAAGCTTTTTGATGGAAACATGCCCACAGATCTTGAGTGACTAGAGTTTGGGTCCTTCAGCCCAGCTTTGTAGCTTGTAGCATACAAGCCTTTTGTGCTTGTAGCATAACAGGAAATCATAGGCTTTTTGAATGTGACACCAGGTCTACTCAAAGTTCAGCAAACTAGGGGATGGGAACAGGGAAAGCTGTAGCCAAGACATCATGAGTGCAGAGGTCAGCCCTTTGATGGACATAGCTAACTATAGACTTGGTGAGGAAGGCTTAGCCTGTTAGCTCTCTGGAAAGGAACAAAGATAGGTTTGACAGAGTGGACAGTATTGTTTTTATTATTATTATTTTAGACAGGATCTCACTGGCCTGACAGGATCTAGCTGGCCTGCAGTTGGTACATAGATCAGGCTGGCTTTTGATTTAAAGCTCTACCTCTGACCGTTGCTTAAAGGCATGCACCACCAAGCCTGGCTGAGCTTGATAGGACGGACAATTCCTGTTAATGCATAAGCTGCAGGTTTTAAAAATCACATTCCAGGTAGCAGGTGTATATATATTTTATTGTTCCCCAAAAGGTATTGGAGGCTCTTACAAAGTGGTGCATGCCTAAGCAGACTGGATAACTGTCTTGACAATTTCAACTTTTAAAGAAAGTGAGAAAATAGCCTAATGGTTAAGAGTAGGGGCATGGAGTAGAGAGGATGGTGATTCTGAAAATGAGTCCATTGGGCAGTGGCAATGGAGACAGAAATGGAGGAAATTCAGATATACAGAACAACAAAGTAGGGGCCAGTGAAATGGCTCATCAGATTAAGGCACTAACAGCCAAGCCTGATGATCTAAGCTCCAACCTCATGAAGTGGAAGAAAAGAACCAATTCCTGCAAGCAGTCCTCTAACCTCTTCATAGGCACAATGACATGTGTATGTCCCTCTCCCCAATAATTGTAATAAAAATTTAAAGGTGGAAGGTGAAGTGATCTGATCAAGGACAGGCTGAGGAAAATGGAGGTAAGCTAGGGTAACTCCCAATCTCCTGCTTTGAGAATCTTGGGTAGCTGGAACTACAAAAGGGGAAACAAACAGGGGCATAGCTTATATTAAGTAATGAATACTGTGTGCAGAGTAACAAGACAGAGCACTATAAGGAGCTGTAACAACTGGTTCGGGGGCGGGGGACTGCCTACTTATTCAGAAATGAAACACAAGAGTATGGGAAGCTATAATCTGAGGAGGTGTAGTGCAAGAAGAGGTCTACATACTAATATTTAATTAAAATGATTCATCAAAACAAACTGAGAAAACAAGTAGAACTAAAGGGGCAGGCTATATGTGGTAGCACATTCTTTAGTCCCAGCACTGGGAAGGCAGAAGCAGGCAGATCTTCAAGTTTGAGGCCACCCTGGTCTACATAGTGAGGCAACATAAAAATTATAGAGGCTGAAGATATAGCCCAGCTGGTAGAGTGCTTGTGTAGCATGCCAGAGGTCCTGGGTTTGGTCACTAGCATCGTCAAAATGAAAATGAAACCCAAATAAATTCTAGAGTTTTTCGAGAAAGGTGCATGTGAAGTGATGTCTTCCTTCTTTGAATCTCTACTATAAAACAGCAGCCAGTGTTATTCCTATAACATACAATGGGCTGGCAGGGCTAGAAAACTACAAAAAAAAAGCCAGACTCCACACCCATACAACTGCATAACCCGGATAAAGCATCAGAAGTTTATGTCACAGGTTTAACATTAATTACTATTTGATTCAGAAACAAAAACAACCAATCAAAATATCAAAACAAAAACTATGCCTAGGATTAACAACCAGAGATACAATTAAACCTATAAGGCAAATGCCAGGTCTCTGCCACTTAAGTAAACAGCTTTGAATTCCCAGCAGTACCACGAAAATAATGTGAAACAAGTTGGATTTGGTGGCACACATCATTACACCCAGGACTGGGTAGGCAGAGGCAGGTGGATCACGTATGTAAGTGAAAAGTTCTCACAGACAGGTTCGAAATCATCTAACATGTTCATGATCTTGCCCTCTTATATCTTAAAGCCCAGGCTCATGTCTGCTATTATTATTTTGATATGAAGGATTTCTTATTTTGTTCAGATTGGTATTGAGCTCCTCGGCTCAAGTGATCTTTCTACCTTAGGAGGAACTTTCAGGCACAGGCCACTATGCTGGGCTTTATGACCTTTATTGGATGTGGTATTAACACACTTGAATTTCCACATTCATTTCCTAAAGTAGAGAGTGAATGTGAAAGATCTAGCCTGTGGTCAGTTGCCAGATCACTGTGGGTAAATGGAAATTGCAACATCATCACAGTCCTCACCCCAGGACAGGGTCCTCTAGGAAGATACGACCAGCTGTATTGTTTGGTACAAGTACTTCTTGCTAGTCACAGAACAAGATGTTCTAAAGCTGTTTTTCTACAGGTTTGTTTGTCTCTTCTCAGTTTACAATGTGGTCCAAAGGTCTTCAACACTAGGAAAGAATCAGGTATGAAGTCTAACCTTTGTTCCTTTTGTCGGGCAGGTATAAGTGGTGTTGAGATAAGCGTTTCATGGAGCTGAGGCTTGCATTAAAATCCTGATCCCCTACCCCTACTTTGTAAGTGCTGGGAGTCCAGGGGTGCACACCATGCTGGCCTCTGATTAGCTTGAACTCATGCTTGTTCTCCTGCTTCTACGAGCCAACTCAAACCAAGGACAGACCTCTTGTGTAGTAGTGTTCCAGTTGGGAGGAGGAACAGAAACCACAAGGCTTGAGATTTCTTACCTCTGGTTAGAAGAGGTCACCATTGGCTGTCCAACTCTCTTCTTTGGTCTGGTTAGCTGAGGTGGTGGAATTTCCCCCTTGAGAGCAGGGACTGAAGAAAGCACACTGGCCTATAAAAGGGCAAGTCAGCACACTGTAGCCACAAAAGTTTTAAAGGATTCTAAAACATCAATAATTTTATTACACTGAACACCACTTGAAAGAAGTGAATCCAGAAACCTTGAAGATACAGTTTTATTCTTTGAAGAGCTTTTATTCTCATGGGATTAGACATGTGCCTTACTTCACAGGATGTTTCTTTAAAACTTAATTAAGGGCTCACTATGAATGTGTGACATTTTCTTCTGTTTCCACTAATTTCCAAATCAATACTGGTCTCCAGAATAGAAGGCCTTTGATTCCAGTGATCAGAACCAAACCTCAGAACTGTAAACATTTTTTCCAGTATTCCCAAATCCATACGTTTTCATTGACAAGAAAAAGAAGAAAATCTGTGTTATAACCACAAGACTCCTCTGGGTTAATTTAAGATTGATTTCATGTTCAGATGGGGATTGTGAGGCCCAGAAAAATGAGATAACTTGCCTAAAGTCACAGAGTTGTAAATGACAGAAATGAAAATAGGACTTAGACCTTTGACTCTCACTCCACTGTACCCATACTGCCTCCCTCCATCCCTTGTATGTTTTGAAAATAATCAAGTTCTTACCTGAGCTAGGTTTAATCCAATGTTCAAGTTGGTAAAATAGCAGTAAAGTAATGTCAGGAAGAGGCAGGAAGAGGAAGAAGAGATTATAGCAAGTAAAACAGGGCTGGGATTAGGTTACTAAGATTCAAATAGAAAGGAGGGTGATGTTGACAAAAGGGAAGGGAGGAGCGTCTCCCAGGGCTCCTACTGCACACTTCTTTCTTCCTAATTCTCTAGGGGGATTTTCTCCTTCCTTTCTCTCTATGGGTTCTAGTTTCTGACCTGAGACAGAATTTCTTCTGTTGTATTCAAGGTTTAGAAATAGATTTAAGGATCCCGAGATCATTCAAATACTTTACAAAAAATTAATGTAGAATAAAACTCACTTTTTTTGTTCTACTGAGTAATTTACTTAAGATTACCTTTCTCTATTTCATCAAGAGCAGCTTCATTCATTTCACTAATTTTAAGTGATTGTTTCTGTTATCATTAAGAGGAAAGAACAAGATATGTAGGCAATCTAAAGGACTGTTCTGCCCTAGAGCGAGATGGCCGAGAAGATTTTATATGACCACTATAAAGTCAGTAAACTTCCCACCAGTAAGATTTTCCAAATTCATCAAAAATAGAAAATAAGAAATGCGCTTAAGGAAGCTTTCTCACATGTAAATTGATGTGGAAGACCAAAGTAAGTTATATCTTACATAGAACTAATAGCATATTTCTGACCGGGTGATGGCTTAGAACCCAGGCAAAGATTATTAAGAATTCTTAATTGCTTTTAGAGTAAGAATCATGCTTGCATGATTCTCTGCTCTTGGTTGTTGATTGTGTGTGTTTGCGTGTACATTCTCTTTTTGCTTTCTCTCAGTCCCCAGAATGTTTTCTTTTAAATACTGTTTATAATGCTGGGATATTGAAATACATTAAAATACAACTGAGCCAGGTGGTGGCGGCGCACACCTTTAATCCCAGCACTTGGAGGCAGAGGCAGGTAGATCTCTGTGAGTTCGAGGCCAGCACAGTCTACAGAGCAAGTTCCAGGACAGGCTCCAAAGCTACAGAGAAACCCAGTCTCAAAAAACCAAAACCAACCAAACAAGCAAACAAAAAACCCACAACTGATGATACGTTTTAGTAGGAGAATTTCCTTCTCCATTGTACACAGTGTATGGTTTAGCCAACTTAGTTTAGTGTTTTTGTGATTGATTTGTTTAGCATATTGGCTTTTCATTTTTGAGTCCATGGGACTAAACACAGCATTAGTCAGTGATTTATAAATATTACTCAGTTATTCATCAGTATAACTGATTAACTCCTCCACTTCTTATGTTCCAATTCAAAAATCAAGAAGCACAAAGGAACCCAAAGTGGATGATTTGGGTATCCCTAAATCTGTTCAATGGAAAGCCTTAGTAGTCATGATTCATAAAGAGCAAAACCTAACAAGTGGCCTATTTGCTAACGTCAGCTAACACAAACTGTAAAGGCTTAAAAACCCTCATATTTAATAAGGTGGGAGACAGGAGAATAAGAAGTAGCTAATAAGTTTTAACAGTGCTTTTTATGGCTGTCTAAGAATAGACTCTATAGTGTTAAATGTGAAAAGCATGATACAAATAAATACAGCATTAGCAATCTAATTTAATATGACTGTGGATTGGCTGGAATCTTCATGACCACTGAAAGGATCACACCCCACTTCTAAACACTGTTCATTTTTTTTATTGAATATTCTGGTAAATATTTCACATTAATACAGGCTACATTAAGTAGAGCCACTATATGACAAGAAATTTACTCATATTTTTTAAAGTATGTAAACAATTATACATGTATTTACCACCCTAAAAAGTTGAAACATGTAATCATCTAATTTTCTTCTGCATACAAGTAGCATTCAGTATGTTTAGCCAAAAGCAATAGGTTCATCTTATCTCAAGTCAAAAATGGCTAAACTAACCAGAGAACATACTCAGGTGGGATAGGAAATCAATTTGTTCTTACACAATGGGCAATCAAATTTCCATTGCTAAAACCTCAGAATATTTTAGTTAGGCACATTAAAAAAAAAAAAAAAAC